GCAGTCGTAGAAAACCTGGAAACAATAAAAATAAATTAAAACATTCAATCCATAGACCCGTCATCAAAAGTTGAGAAAACTTTTTGGGTCTAATAAATTGAAGTGATTAGCATAGTCCCTGACACTATGGAATCCATTATAAAGAAGTTCATTACTTGATATCAGGATAATATCTTAACAAACTCTCAGGTGCTTTGATTACTTACTCTGGGGCACTATACATCCCTGAGGCTGGTAGCCCTGTGGCAACTGAGTGTGTTTCATGGTCAAACTCCATGTCATCTGGGATATACCTAAGGTCAAGTATATTACCACTCAGTTCAAACTCTGTTCCATCACATTCATCATACAGAACTTCAGCAGTCCCTGACATAAAAAAGGAAAAGTGGTAACTTAAAAATTGTCCAATATGCAACGGTGTTATGCATGGAAAATAATTACCTCGAGCTATATAGAATAAAACAATTACAATACAGTAATAATGTAAAGTAGCTTTTTTACTGACTGCTTTGACAATGTAATAGTGAAATAAAATCTAGTAATGAAAAATATGTGTTCAGTACATGTGTAAGAGTTTACTTTTTCATAAGGGTTTAATTACACCTAAACCTGTAAAGTCAGATGTAAGTTAAACACACTTTATATAGTGGGCTATTTGTTCATCAACTGAAGGGCAGAGATTTGTGTCCTCTATCTCATGGCTTGGGTTTGCAAACAAAGATTTCAGGAAGTAAAAGGTCCCTAGTGGAAGCATGCTGGTGGCTGAGAAAACAAGCCCTGCCCCAACTACATCAGGTAACAGCCTGGTCTCTAGTGTTTGCTGAAGGGTTACAGCTTTCCAGCCTGACCTCCTCTGCACTGTGTCTCCAGGTATGCATGAAGAGATAGCTGGACTTTTATGTAGCACTGTCTCACAGAGGAAGGTGAGGGCCTTTCATAGGTATACCTTTCCTACCCCTATTAAGCCATACCTGGTGAATCACAATCCATCACTGCATAGTAATACTTAAGCCTGTTTAACTGGTATTGGCGAAGTTTCTCCATGGAAAACCCTGAGCCCTGAAGGATTAAGAAAAAGATCGGTTGCATGTCATAACAACTATTGAACAACAGTCTATTGCACTGGATTCCTTCTCTTAAATTATTATTAGTTTCAATCTGTTCATTATGCTGAGTAAGACCAAAAATCTTTACATCTTACCTCTGTATTTCCATTTTCACCCAAGTTTTCACTTTCATCCTCATCATCTTTCAGTTCAACAGGTCCAAAGCACTCCTCTTTTTGCATTTGTTCCAAGCCATAATCAGAAGGATAAATCTGCAGTGGAAACAAAATACTCTAGTAAATATTTATTGTTATTACAGAAAAACTATTGAGGCAGCAACATAACTGTAAAATGACTTACTGTAAATTCACACTTGAGAGCTTTAGAATTGACATAACTTTTCTAGTTTTTTTAAAGAACTTGATATTTTATTATTTAATATCTTTAGACTTTTAGTACTTAAGTATTAAGCATTTTAATATGTTAGTAATTGTTGTATTTTAGGACCATAAGGGAGACTACAGTCTGACTGTAATATTATTATATTCCCTACTAAAATACCGTGTCATTCATTCACAATGTTCACAGTGACCAACTGCACTAAAAATCACTACTAGTTTACACTGCAATAATTTTATGACTTTGAGCACCAGAAAAATATTATTGCAAAAGAAATTGCATGCGTAAACTGCAGGCCTGAAGAAAGACTTCCTCTTATCTAGAACAAAGAGTAGAGTTTAACCCTTTAAACCCTAAGATCAAAATTTGAATTCTCATTTGCTGCACCTATTCATTTCCTACAGAAGTAGTGGGGAGAAGTTGATAAAATATTTAAGTTACCTTGACTGATTTTATGACACCATCCCTAGGCTTGAAGGAATTAAACAACACTAAGAAATAATCAAAAGACCAGATTAATTAAAACAGTGGCAATAAAAAATGTATTTGTTCAATACAGGCATTAAAATAACTTGTACATGTAGTCCAGGCTGAGAGTCCCTACTACATGTATCTTGCATCAAATAACACTAAATGAAGGGAGATAAAGAGGGGAAGGAGAACCTGAGTATGTAACTTACCAAACAGGTCTGTTGCAGTTACTCTGTCCCAATCCAGGTTGCACACCGCAAGACGTCTTGTTGAATCTTTTGTTGTTTTTGTTGAAACATCCATTTCACCCCATGGGTGCTCAATTTCATCCTGTTATATCAATAAATATTAATTATTATACAATAATAACATTTACAGGTAAGTGGCCCTGATATTTTCCATCCAATAAGATTAAGGAACTGGTAAACCAATCAACTAGCTGGAATTTGTCATGGTAGCATAAATAATCATAGGCAGATCTAGGAAAAATAGTGATTGTTTTCTGAAACAACAAGTGCCAAGCGACGTTTGGGAAAGTTTTCAGATTTAACTCCCTTGAGTACCTTTTCTTGGCTTGGCTTTACTCAGAAGGGGGTCTTTGAGTTACTCTGGTAGAACATTCACCATAGACTGAGCGTATCAGTACCAGAGAGTTTGAAATTTTCTTTTATTTGAAAAAAACATTAAAATAATGATTCTGAGAAATCTGCCCATTTTCCATAAAATGTAAAAACCGGTGTAAATTTGCGCCTGATAGTAATGTTACAACAGTAGGTAATAATATATACTCACCTCTTTTATTTTCAACTTTAGTTGCCCTTCATCCTCTTCTTCAGAAGACGATTGAACATCTCCTTCTCCCCTACTGAGATCTATATCCTCCTCTGAACTGCTGCCATTCTCATCTTCATCTTCCTTCTTGCTTCTTATTTTTTTGGAACTTTTCTTACCCACCCCTTTGTTATCATCATTTTCTTGCATTTGTAGTTTCTCTTTCATTTTCCTGCCATCTTTTTTAATTGCCTTTTCTTTCTTAGATTTGCTAAAAAAAACAAACTTTGGTGTCAATGGCAATAATAATATTAAACAATATTAGCTTTCCGACATTTCATTAACTCTTTGACAAATGCTTTGGTCATTCTTTGAGCCACAAACATTTTTCTTCATGGACCCATTACTTTAGCTCTCTGTTTAGTCGTTAACAAGAAGATATTAAGAATTATTGCCAATTGTCACATCAGTTATTGTTAGAAGTAAAAGGCTTAACAAGACAGTAAATAGGCCATTTGGCAGTTGTGGGCTTAGTGTCTGTTATCTTTGAGTAAACTTGAGGCTGAGGTTGACCTTGTTTTGATACAAGTGCACTCTCTTTTCTAATGCAAATTTAGCTTAAAATTACTACTTAGCATGAAAACAACATGATTTACATGATAAAGCAGGAAGGGTTGTATCAAAACAAGGTCAACTCGAGCCTCGTTTCCACCAAAACTGTAACATGGGCTAAAGAAAATGATGGTCTTCATTCAGCACCTCTTTGCAAGTTTTTTCTCTGTGACTTCCTTTCTTTCCTTTTGTTTTGGTTGAATTTCCTCATCCTCATCTTCTACAAAACCAAACAACAAAATAGGTTCATTTTTAAGGCAAGACTAAAAAGCTTATGGGTAAATTATTTAGTTAATGATACTTTCATTGACAGTGGAAATTAACCTACCTTTGTCAGATTCATCTGACATTTCATAAAATCTGTGGAGATCTTCTGTTGATGTTTTCTCAACTCTTGAGCCACGTTTGTCAACAAAATCTGTGGGTAAAAATATATATTTACATTATTATACCACTACATGACAAATTTCTGCAATTTGATTGGCTTAGAGCAGTGGTTCAGCTTAATTTGAAATACTTACATGTGAAAATTACAAACCTTTTGCGGGTAGTAGTATAAACAAATAATAGCATGATTTGTACGTGATATTTGGCATAAATAACACTCATGATATTTCAAAATTGTCTCAAATTTCACTCACCTAGCGGCTTGTGAAATTACGTATAACAATTTTGAAATATCACTTGTGGTATTTATGCCAAATATCACTACAAATCATGCTGTTACCTCTACCAATATATTGACATTTTACACTTTATAATTTGTATTGTTTCTTCTTCTAAAGATGCCACAGGATACCCATGCAGTCAAAACCTTCATTAACATGTAGATACAAGACCTCTCTATTACTTACACTTTGTTGTGAAGCTTTTATCCGTAAACATTTTCTCAAACCGTCCATCGATCTTAAGTTTCCTCTCTTTGCGGGAGATTTTCTGAATAAAGAAACATTAAGATTAAACCAAAATTTCTAGCAATCAAGTATCAACAAACAAGTAGCAAAAAATGATTATTACCCGATATGTATGTTGTAGCAAATTTTCATCTCAGGTTATTTTTATTTTCCCTTTGTTTCAACTTCATTAGCATACACTACCATACCCAAAAACAAAACAAAAAATTACCGGAGATAAAAAGCATTTTACGCTTTTTGACAATGAAACATGACATACACAGTACTGAACTGGAAGACATTCAGTATTCAGTACGATTTCAGACAAACTCTCTTCTTATTTCATGGATAAAGAATAAACCTGCAAGTTAATGAAGGAGATTAAGTAGATGGTTACTCACTTTGAAGCGAGGATCTTGGGCAACACGTGTGAACCTTGGGTCCTCCATCTTGTTTACAAGGACGATGTTCAGCTGAATACGGTTTGATTAACAAGTACGACCGATTCTTCCTGCTTCTATCTCATTCAGGAAAGTTAAAAACCCTCTTTGTATGTTCAGAAATAATTTCTAAAGCAATGAAAACCTTTTTTGAAACACAAGCCATCAACATGATCAATACAAGGTTTGAAGAACGAAAACTTCCAGGCGCGTTTTGCATTGGTAGCCTCTCACATTGCGCAACATTGGTTTTCAGGTTCTTCGCGGGAAGCTCAAAATTTAAAGCTCTTGGTGAACTCATCACAACCTTCGATGTTGCTGTTGTCATCAAAGCTCCTGATCAGAAAGAGTTCAGGTTATACCCAGCCAAATTCAACCCCTCTGGGCATGTAAACATGTATTCAAAATCACTTCAATGAGACCATGCACCCCTTCCCCCGGGACAAATTAACATGTATTCACAATCAATTCAATGAAACCATGGGCAGAAGTACGATAACATTTTTTTTATCCCAACATCAACTGTAATGTTTATGATGTACTAAATAAACTAGACTATATAGCTTTGCAAAAATATACAGTCTCTGTCTGTTTCTTTTTGTCACTAACTATCACTACTGTCTTTACATAATGCTGATCAATGCCGGACAACAAGGAGGAAACAAGTGGTTTAAGGCCTAAAACACCATTACTTTATGAGTTAAACTTAAGAGATGCAAATTAACCTATTTAATGCCTATCATGGGTAAACTCAGGTGTCAAGAACTGACCTGGATTGTACCAGATCAAATCAACCCCAGCCTGAACACACTAAAAGGAATGATCCAATCTGGACTGATCCGGTGGTCCAATCCAGGTTTCACCAATGCCACGTGAACTCAGTATAGGTCATGGGTGATGATACCAGTTAAACAAAGAAGAGATTGCACATGCTGCAGGGCATTAATATGCCATGGGTGAACATTTAAATGCTCACCTGCTTCAAAAAGAAATATATAGATTTAGCCACAGCTAACTAAATACCAAGCTCCCATTTATGCATTCAAAATTTATTTGAGGCATGGAATTAAAACCGTTGCAGAGAAATCCCCAAATCTATACTTAACTTTTATGGGAGAACCATATGACTGAAAAACATAAACTTGAGCCTGCGATCAATTAAAAGCTCACAACTGGTCAGCAAAAAACTTCAAAAAACAGGTGACCTGGGTGAGTTAGCACCTGAGCCCATGATACAGTTATGTGACTATGGCCAGTAGATACTCTATTATGACAACTGTCGAATTGACCATAATATGTATGTCTATTATCAAGTTAGACAAGGTCAAGATGGCTGGATATTGACCAAGTTCTTTTTCCTGTTTTTATTGAAGGAACGAGGCCAATGTACAGCCATTTTGACCAAACAAACTTGGTCAATAAGGGATTTATTATACGGCCAAAAAAGGGCCCATCTTGCCTTGCCTATTATTAAACAGCTTCAATAACTTTGCTGTAGATCTCAGAATAATATATCTGTTTGTATGCATACCAGCCTACACTCCAGTTTTGTGATGAGTCATAAAACGAAAGAAGGATACTTAGGTTACCATGCCTGTCAAGTTCCATGAAATGCTGTCTTGTATATTCACTGCTTAATGTCAGATATGTTTCTGGTTTTTCCATTTTGTCTTCTTTCAGTTTTAACTTCAATATCTTAAGGTGTTTCTATACAAAAGTGTCCAGATCTTTGGTTTATCTTATAAAATAAATGGACTATTTCACCAGAAAAAGACTTAAAGGAACATCAATTCAAATCCTATTTTAGCTGTGATGTGAGCTTGTTGTGTTCCCTTGCTTCTTCCTACCATTACATGAAGGTCAAAAGAAGCACTTTAACAAGACCAATGCGATGCTCCTCCCTGTCTCTCAGTCTTCAGCTTTGTACGACACCATTGTGTCAACTTTGTGAACAGTTGTTGAAAATGATCTCAGTCGGACTTCTTCTGAATTTGCAATGATTCTAGCTTGAGATTCTTCCCAGGTTTCTGGTACATCTTGGTCTCTGTTGGTGTATGCTAGCAGGTCAAATGCACCTGGAAATAATTATAAAGCAGCCATAAATCATGGTGAATAGATAAGACCCCTACCCTTGTCCATGACGAAACAAATCACAGCAACAGTAACCAGCTGCACTATGCACTGCCACGCCCACCCCACCATCCAAGAGAAGTTATGGAAAAGGTATAATGTGAGAGTGGACATGCCTCTTAACCTTTTATGCCCTGAGAATGACCAACATCAATTTTCAAACTAACAATTATATCAACACATCATCATAACAAAACGTTATGAGAACTATTAAAAAAATCACTAAAGGAAAGGTGCTTTGATTTCTTATTAAATTCTCTCAGCTAACGCTTTAAGGGAAAGTCAGTGGACATTCAACTGTAATTCTTGGAGGAAAAGCATGAGTGTGAGAAAGGAGAATAATTATATATCTTGATATATGAAAATATAAATTATAATACTTACACTGGCCATCAAGAAGAGGAAGAAAAGTCACACTGGCAGTTATCTGACGAATTACATCCCTCATCTCTCTTTGAATATCTTTCTTTGTTTTCGCTGGAGGAGGTTTTCTACAATAAACATTGTAATGAGTAACATCTATATTCTCATAGTCTTCTTATTGCACAAAACTATTATCGTAAAGAAGTCTTGTCAATCATGTATTTTACTTTGGACAGAAAGGAATGAGGTACTGAAAATGACAATAAACAATACTTACTGGTATTTACAAAAGCCACTGTTTTTTTATGCTTCAGAGAGAATCGAAACAAGCCAACATGGAGATATGATATTCCAGCAAACTAAGGCTGTTATTACTTATAAGCATCAAATGAAACTTTCCTTCATTTTACCAGCATAATTTAGTCATAGGGATGTTGGAAGAACAAAAAATAACTTGTTGTTATTGAGGGGCATCAATATAACAACAATCTTCAATTTTTACTTCTAAGCATATTTTCAAGAAAAAGACATCATGGTAAAATTAATAACACCAGATACATACTTAGCGGGTTTCTTGTCATCTCCTTCTGTGGTTTGTTCACTGTTCTCGCAGTGTATATCAAACTGCCACCTCTCTATAACCTCTTCTGTATCTACCTGAGTGATCACCATGACAACACGCTGAAGAGCATTCCCCTCAAGCCACTCTGAATGGAGCAAACAAGTTTGGCAGAAGAAATTTCTTCAAGCTTTTTCGGATTTTTAGTGTTGTTTTTACTTTATGGGTTTTGAGAAAACACTTACCCCTAAATGATCCCTTAACAAAAAGTTTATTTAACAAAATTAGTATTGTACACAACAATTTTCCATCAACTGCCTTATTGGTACTTAATTTTGTGATTTTGACGAGATAGTATAGAGTACTAAAGTGTGACATCATAATAAATTAAATCTGTGAAATTACAGGATTTGACGGGATATTCTGAAAGAAAAACATCCAAGAGGCCTACTTGCCAAAACCTAGCATTGTGGGGAAAATTGTTCCTTAGATATTAGCCCAGTTATGCTCTGATGACTCCATACAAATCCTTCTAAATTTGACTTGGGTCTAAAAATTTAGATGACACATCGCTACCCAGTTGTGGGTAGTGCTTCTGATTGGTTGAAGCAAATTTCACAAGCGTTATGACCAATCAGAAGCACTACCCAGATCTGGGTAGTGATGTGTCATTGGTATGGATTTTCTGTGCTTGTTTCTCAGATATCATTTCGCGGGGAAATCAGTGGTGGTGTCATGAAATGACACCTGTTTTCTCAGACAACATCACTTCATTAATTCCCATAGTTTAAGAGACCACAGCTCTTGCCCACTGACTTATGAGCATAAACATCATTCAGTTGTTGTAGAATAAGGTTTGTGTAAACAAAATTCTTTGAATAAGA